CCCCCCCCCCCCCCCACTGCCCACTGCCCACTCTGTAACCTTTGGTTATTACCTAAGTTATCAAGGTAAGGTATTCTGTAAAACTATTGTAAGTGACAATTTTGGTCCAAAAAGATAAATTGCTCAAAAACTGCTGATATTACATGTAGGTGATTACATGTACCAGAGAATACTACGACAATGAGCATAACGTGTGCATATTATCCAATGACAAAACTCATTTCAGGCTCAATTTCCCTATCTGAGCATAACTTGCAGGCCCTCTTCAGTGCTCAAACTGGCTCAATGTCAAGTTTTTGCTAGTATTGGACACAAGTTTTTCAGTCAATGTTTAGAATCCCCTGCACTTCAAACTTTATCTGCTACGTAAAGAAGAAAGAAACAGCTGGAAAAAATAAACAAATAAAAAAGAACAAATAATACTTTTCTGAAACTGCCTGATTGATAGGGCACGCAAGAGTTTGTCAGAGTGGCCATTTGCTTTTACCATTGCCCTTTATATACTATGATACTTTTTTCTTTCTCCATGTTCGTTAATGGCATGCAAGCCTGCAGTCTGGCTGACAGAAATTGAGGTGAGAAATATTAAAACCCTAAACATGGCTTCTCGAAAGTCCTCATTTTTTATTTTATACACAGTATGGTTCAGATAATGGCTAAATTCTCCAAATTGATTCCTTAGCATTTTTATAAACCATATGTCGGGTTTTCCTAGAGAAAATCACCAACATACCGATTAAATTCGAAAGGGTTCATACAAATAACCTTTAAATTTCCCGCCGGCCATGATGCACTCAAACTCAAACGCGTGAAGGAGTCTATTCTATTCTACAGCTACTCCATTTACAATTAATATAGACATATATCAATCCACATACCGTCTGCATCTTAAATCTTGTCTTGAGTAGATATAGCAGAGGTAGAAATGGTAAAAGCAGGGAGGAAATTTTTGGGAAGAAATTTATAAATATATTACGGTCGAAAATGCCAGGCGCGCATTTTGTGCCAGGACGCACAGCTCAGCCCTGAATTCATAGCGGTCCACCCCGCTCATTATTCTCCCTCTTTACCGAAAATACACATGGCGCCCAAGGATAAGGGTAAGATAAGGGAATGCTTCTAAAAGATTTTTTATTTAATAGTGTGATATCACTAAAAGTTAACACTTAAAAAAGGTTGTTTGATAAATAAAGAATGACTTTCTTGTGTGACTTAGTCAGTAACGTGTTAAAGGCACGCAGTAAAAGCGCGACAATGTTGGTCGTTCTTTTCCACGTGCAAGCTTCCTTGGCAATCTGCTGTCTTTAAAACAGTAGCCAGGAACGTTTCTACTGTGTGTGAAGGATTTCTGTCCGTTGATTGGAACATAATTTTCACAACTGTTAACGGTTGAATCAAAGAGGACTTCATATAGGTTGGTCGTTGAGGTAAAATACCTCTGAGATAATTCCAAGCCCTTATTTTAACTGGACGTCGGTATCTAAGCTTACTTAATTTACTTGCCTTTCTCGGAACATCTTGAATTCCCTCTACCCAGCGTCTTTTTACGTCATTTGGATGTTGTTTGGTACCGTGGAACCTCGATATCATGAAGCGAAGGGCCAAGGGACTGGCAATTTTTTGTGGGTTTAAAAAGGTTTCGATATATATATTGACGTTCTTTTTCATACATTTTACTATTACTTGGGTCAAAAAAAAGGACTTGGTTATACAGAGGTTTGTTATATCAAGGTTCCACTGTAGGACAGTGCAGTGATCAGATGAGAACCCTGAGGCTGCCTACTCAAAATTTTAAGGATTAGCAATACTAGATAAACACTGCACAAATTTAGGCCTTTGCCCCCTTCTTCTCTGGTTATCCTGCTTACTTTTGTTAAACCTTTTTACTGGGGTGATGGAAAAACCAGTGGGCGAGTTTTCTAGGGAAGAAGGGGAGCTGACATAAGGTCGAATTGAATTGATTGTTATTATAATTAATCTTGGTGAAAAAATGAAAGATTGTAAATTTTGAGCTCGGTGAACAATTGTGAAGATGAAATAATCAGCATGCCAAGAGTGTGGGACAAAGAATAAATCTGAGTCCCCAACAGGATTCGAACCTATGACCTCCCAAACACCGAGTGGGCGCTCTATCCACTGAGCTATGAGAACTCATGGAGCATGAGGTTGAAAGTTGTTTTAAGTACCATGATGTGTTTCGTCATTATTGTTTATTGCTCTAATGAATGAATGAATGAATGAACTTTATTTAAGTGTCAGGGTATTTAGCTATGTATTAGCTAATTGTGGACACTAAAAGAACATTCAAAGTACAAATAATAATGATAATAATAATAATAATAATTGATTAATTGAAACAGATCCTACAAGTCTTAAAAATCTATTTTAAGATTTATAATCATTTTAAAAACAGAGAAGGTTCATAATAAAAATCTATTCAAGAAAAATTCTTATTGTTTGTGATACTGGGAATAGCATATGGTGAACTACAGTGGGATTATGTAAATGTAAGTTGCTAAACAAATTGCTGCTACTCAAAGAATCCCTAATCTAGGAATTCTAATAAACCTTGTTTATTTCTTGTCTCTAGGAAAGTCAAAAGCTGGGGCCTCAGGAAAAGCCAGTGAGACTTCTAAAGCCCAAAAGGCTAAGAAGTCTGTCCTGAAGGGTGTTCAGCGTGCACCAAAGAGGAAGGTGCGCACAAATGTTCATTTTTACCGTCCTAAAACTTTGAGCCTTCGAAGAGCTCCCAAGTATCCTCGGCATTCTGCTCCCAGGACCAACAAACTAGATCACTATGCAATTATTAAGCATCCTTTGACAACAGAGTCAGCCATGAAGAAGATTGAAGACAATAACACACTTGTGTTTATTGTTGATGTGAGAGCTAACAAGCCACAGATCAAGGCCTCTGTGAAGAAGTTGTATGATATTGATGCCTCCAAGGTCAACACCCTTATAAGGTACCTAAAATCATGCAACACGTCTTTCTCTTNAATAGCATATGGTGAACTACAGTGGGATTATGTAAATGTAAGTTGCTAAACAAATTGCTGCTACTCAAAGAATCCCTAATCTAGGAATTCTAATAAACCTTGTTTATTTCTTGTCTCTAGGAAAGTCAAAAGCTGGGGCCTCAGGAAAAGCCAGTGAGACTTCTAAAGCCCAAAAGGCTAAGAAGTCTGTCCTGAAGGGTGTTCAGCGTGCACCAAAGAGGAAGGTGCGCACAAATGTTCATTTTTACCGTCCTAAAACTTTGAGCCTTCGAAGAGCTCCCAAGTATCCTCGGCATTCTGCTCCCAGGACCAACAAACTAGATCACTATGCAATTATTAAGCATCCTTTGACAACAGAGTCAGCCATGAAGAAGATTGAAGACAATAACACACTTGTGTTTATTGTTGATGTGAGAGCTAACAAGCCACAGATCAAGGCCTCTGTGAAGAAGTTGTATGATATTGATGCCTCCAAGGTCAACACCCTTATAAGGTACCTAAAATCATGCAACACGTCTTTCTCAATTATTATTTCTCTTATGTTATCAACGTTTATGCTATAAACAAATTGTTTGAAGTTCAGTAGTTCAGTTTTTGTTAACAGCAAGATTTTCTTTCCTCCTTTAAAGCAAAGGTAAAGTTGTTGGAGCATCTGGAGCTTAGCTATCATTGCACAGATAATTTTCTCTAAGAAAGATGTTATTGCAAATTTTTCTCTTTCTGATTGCCACCTAGCCTACAACAAAGCACTCTGTCCACCAGTTAACAGAGTCCCTCCTTTAACCCTTTAAGCCCCAATATCCACATACAAATTCTTCAAACTGATCTCTATATATTTCCTTAAAGAATGTGTTGAGAATTTGATAAAAGATCAGAGCATTTTCTCTTAGATGATCATTTTATTAACTCTCATAACCTAATCTCTTGACAATCTATGGATATTGTTAGGAGAAAATTGATGTTGGTCACCATTGGGACTTAAAGGGTTAATGTCACACAGGCCTAGCAAGACTCCAAAGCCCTTTCACTCCTAACACTACCTTTGTATGATGTGAGTTGACATTGCATGCTCAGTATTAGATCGGTTTTCCTCAAATTTTGCATTGAAAGAATAGTGAATGATCTGCACATCAAAGACGAAGAGTCTTACCCCCCCTTCTACACAAGTCTTCTAGTACGACCCCTACAACTCTATGACCTCTTTGACTGAATGATTTTGTACAACAACCAATACATTAAGCCAAGGGGTATACTAAAAAAAAAATATACATGGCCTCATATATGTAGCCGATTTTTTGAAAACCAAGTACAGTACCTAACAAAATTTTCAGTCATGCGAGTGAAAAGGTGTCAAAGGGCATATTTCTTAAGCCCGAGAAGCTCCAAAATCACAGTAACGAAAGGAAAGGAAAGGAGAAAAAGAAAGAGCGAGGAGAAGGAAAGGAGGAGATGAAAAAAAAAGCAATGGTTGCACTCTTAGTTTTTATAATGGCTACTTTGGAGATAGTTTTTGGCTGAAAAAAACTGTTCGATGCAAAAGGTCCACTTGGTGATAATAATATCCAAAATCTGGCTAGATATACATAGTCTTATTTTGGACATTTCCTACTTTTTTTTGTGTAAGTGCCAAGTATTTGTAGACCTTTGGAATCTCATACTGACTGGCATTTTTTTGCTTTAGACCTGATGGACAGAAGAAAGCTTATGTCAGGCTGGCACCCGATTATGACGCCTTGGATGTTGCAAATAAGGTTTGTGATAAAAGTTTATGTAATTCTTTCCACACAGTTTTGTCATGTTAAAGTGATTTGTCGGTCTTACTTATCATAATTACAGTTTATCACCATGAGTTTTGTAGTTGCATAGAGGCAAAAGGAACTTCAAACAGTATATTTATCTTTCTTCCATCAAATAGGGAATTTTTTGGGCCAAAATCCCTTTCATTATAATTGTGGCTTCTTAAACCAGGGGTCAATTAAATAAAACTTTTACACGTGTAATTTACAAGTGTAGCCATTGTTTTAGAATCTAAGAACAATAACTACACTTGTAAAGTACATGTGTAAAAGTTTTATTAAATTGACCCCAGATCACTAAAGTGTAATGCTCTGTTACTTGTTGTTAAGTACATTAACAGTCAAATAATATAATGATTTAATAACTGTACTTACTCTGTTTATGTTTTTTTAATTCGCAGATTGGGATCATCTAAGCTGGCCAAATGAAAATGAAACAATAAAACTTGATTGTTATTTAATTATTGAAGGTTTTGTGCATTATTAATGATGTTTTAAGCAGACTACCATACAATGATCCACTACAACCACCGCCACAACAACAATATATATACAAGCAAAAGGACAATTAACCTGCAATGAAATTAAATAGCCTAAAGGCTATTGGCTTTGGTAATAACTACCGATAGGAAGCAAATCAAAAAGACTAGGAAGCCAAATTACATGATGTAAATTTCAGTACTAGGGCCAAAAGACATACATGCAAAATGGATATACATTGAACACAAACACACACAACAAAATAGTAGAAACTGCATAAAATTATTGAAAAAATATCCGCCATCTTTACTATCTGACTGCTGACTGCTAACTTTCCATATGATTATTTATGCACCAGTTTTTTGGGGCTGTTGNTAGGTATTTCAAATTAAGCTGAAATACCACTGCTCTAAACCAATCAAATTGCAGAAATTTCTCATGTAGTAGTATAAACAGTCAAATAATATTATAATGATGTAATAACTGTACTTAATCTGTTTATGTTTTTTAATTCACAGATTGGGATCATCTAAGCTGGCCAAATGAAAATTAAACAATAAAACTTGATTGCTATTTAAGTACTGAAGGTTTTTTGCATTATTAATGATGTTTTAAGCAGACTACCATACAATGATCCACTACAACCACCGCCACAACAACAATATATATACAAGCAAAAGGACAATTAACCTGCAATGAAATTAAATAGCCTAAAGGCTATTGGCTTTGGTAATAACTACCGATAGGAAGCAAATCAAAAAGACTAGGAAGCCAAATTACATGATGTAAATTTCAGTACTAGGGCCAAAAGACATACATGCAAAATGGATATACATTGAACACAAACACACACAACAAAATAGTAGAAACTGCATAAAATTATTGAAAAAATATCCGCCATCTTTACTATCTGACTGCTGACTGCTAACTTTCCATATGATTATTTATGCACCAGTTTTTTGGGGCTGTTGGAAAGCTTCTGTCAGACACTTGTGGTGGCGTGGGGGTGTGGGAGGGGAGGGGTTGTTGATATGTTCATGGTAGGCAGGTATATCACTTTCCTCAACTGTTTTTACCACCCAGTACTTTTAGAGCCAGCCTTGAATGTGCTTGAATCATTGCAGGTCCCATTTTACAGATTGTAAAGTGCCTTCATCAAGTGAAATAATGACCTCCTAGTTTCCATCTCCCAAGTATAAGCAGTTACTGTAAACTGTCTTTACTCGACACTCAAAATAATTTAGTTACTGTAAACTGTCTGTATTTGACACTCAGAATTAGTTCTTACGCAAAAATGGCCACAATCTGTCATCATTGTTGTATTTCAGTCGCACAATAGTGTATTTTCTGGTGTGGATGATTTTCATAGGGAAAGCGTATTTTTTTTGTCACACTCTATGCATTTGGGTGAAGGTTTGCCGAGCAACTGGAACCCTTAGCCTAAATGTGCACAAGGCCATACAGCTTAAAAGCTTCATTTTACAGCCATATTATAAACTATTAAGAAACTAAAAGTCCCTATCCTATACCACACTAATTATTGACCACAAACTCCAGTTACTTATCTGTACTAATCAATTTCTTACCAATTTCTGTCATCTATCCCAGGGTTAACTGTCTCAAAACCATCCCAGGATAGCTTAGGTACAAAGGTAAAGGGGTATTTGCCTAGTCCCTAGGGCTCATTACTGCGCGTAGCCTATGCTTTTCAGGTGACGTGGAGTGAGCAAGTTTTTTATTGTCCTGGTCATTCGTCTTGGGTACATCACCGAAATGCATTGATCAAGAAGGTGTGAGAAGATGCTCTACAGGGATGAGGGAAGAGGGATATGCCCTCTCCCCCATATGAGTATCACTCAAAATGTATCTCTTGGGATCACATCATCTTGCATTAAAACTTAGCTGTATTTAACAAATTTACATTTCAACTGCTCATAACTGCTTGGGTTGAACCACTTTACCTATAAAACCAGTTGTGATGTCATATTTTAATGGTCCTAGCCGGTAGCTAATTTTGACACTGAACAAGTGCTTGGCAAGAGATCTTTCCAGGCAGATCCAACAAATGTGATTCAGTTAGCAGGCCAGAGAAAAATGCAGTCATGTCTACTAGCAGAAAATTCTATTAACAAACTTGTTCTACCACACACTTGTATCCCCTTAAAAAGTAATGATCAAATAATAATATTATTATTTTACAGTCCTCTAGCCTGCATTGCTTGAGATAAAATCTATTGATGTGTTTACTTTAGCAAGCAATGGCACATATTTTCTTGAACATTCTATTCCTCAAGGCTGGGCTCATCGAAAAATTGAGTGGAGCCTTGAGCTGTGAATGTATAAAAACTTGGGTGCCGTAATACTTCCCCGCTGAATATCCTTATAGATAGGGTCTCTTCTAAAAGGTTCTGACCAATCTACTTTTCAGAAGAGTTACGATATGCGTAGTTCCTTGATGCCATTGAAAGTTCTTTGCATACTGTGGATAGTGTAGTACATACACTGAACAAAAAGGTCAGACCATGTATGTGAATGGTCACTTACAAGAGGTTAAAATGGAAAATTATAAAACCAGCACAAAATTTGTTTACAAGAGGTTCTAATAATAGGCCTTTTCTTTGCCAAATTTGGTGCTTTGCACTGGTGGCTGCACTGACTTGGAGGTTCTACTGTATTCCTTTAAATGAGTAGATGTGGGACGTGTTTATAGTAGAGATCACCAGTAGTCAGTATGAACAACCACCAACACAAGGTATTTTTGGTTGTTGCTTATCGATGGTGTGATCGTTTGGTATTTTCCATTTTACTGACATAGGCATGTTGCTAACTAGACAGTATCCCAAAAATATATCCTTCCCTTTAAAAGTTAAGCCTAATGTAAAAGAAAGAAACAGCTGGAAAAAATAAACAAATAAAAAAGAACAAATAATACTTTTCTGAAACTGCCTGATTGATAGGGCACGCAAGAGTTTGTCAGAGTGGCCATTTGCTTTTACCATTGCCCTTTATATAGTATGATACTTTTTTCTTTCTCCATGTTCGTTAATGGCATGCAAGCCTGCAGTCTGGCTGACAGAAATTGAGGTGAGAAATATTAAAACCCTAAACATGGCTTCTCGAAAGTCCGCATTTGTTATTTTATACACAGTATGGTTCAGATAATGGCTAAATTATCCAAATTGATTCCTTAGCATTTTTATAAACCATATGTCGGGTTTTTCCTAGAGAAAATCACCAACATACCGATTAAATTCGATTAGGTTCACACAAATAACCTTCAAATTTCCCGCCGGCCATGATGCACTCAAGCTCAAACGCGTGAAGGAGTCTATTCTATTCTGTAGCTACTCCATTTGCAATTAATATAGACATATATCAAGCCACATACCGTCTGCATCTTTAAATCTTGTCTTGAGTAGATATAGCAGAGGTAGAAATGGTAAAAGTTGGGAGGAAATTTTTAGGAAGAAATATAATACGGTCGAAAGTGCCAGGCGCGCATTTTGTGCCAGGACGCACAGCTCAGCCCTGCATTCATAGCGGTCCACCCCGCTCGTTATTCTCCCTCTTTACCGAAAATACACATGGCGCCCAAGGATAAGGGTAAGATTAAGGAATGCTTCGAAGAGACTTTTTAATGTAACAGTGTGATATCACTAAAAGTTAACACTTAGAAAACGTTGTTTGATAAATAAAGAATGACTTTCTTTTGTGACTTAGTCAGTAACGTGTTAAAGGCACGCAGTAAAAGCGCGACAATGTTGGTCGTTCTTTTCCACGTGCATGCTTCCTTGGCAATCTGCTGTCTTTAAAACAGTAGCCAGGAACGTTTCCACTGTGTGAGACGCACTTCTTTGCGTTGATTGGAATATAATTTTCACAACTGTTAACGGTTGAAGCAAAGAGGACTTCAAATAGGTTGGTTAGGCTTTAACTTAATACGAAGGTTGTAGTGGTTAAAGGAAAATAACTCCGAGACAATCCCAAGCCCTTATATTTATATACTGGACGTAGGTATCTAAGCTTACATAATTTACTTGCCGTTCTCCCAACATCTTGAATTCCCTCCATTCAGCCTCTTTTTACGTCATTTGGATGTTGTTTGGTACAGAGGAACCTCGATATCATGAAGCTAAGGGCCAAGGAACTGGCCAATTTTTTAGGCTATAAAAGGGTTTCGTTATATCGAGGTTCTTTTTCATACATTTTACTATTGCTTGGGTAAAAAAAATTGTTCATTATACCAGGGACATAGTTATATAGAGGTTTGTTATGTCGCATTTCCTCTGTAGGACAGTGCAGTGATCAATGCAGTAATCTTTCCTTGATTTTGTCCAGTGTTTGTACTTTTCCTTTGTTTCTTGGCACTGGTCCTTCAGTTGGGGTTGTCAAAAGGTGCCAACAACAAGCTATATTGCTTGCTATGTTTGTAGTGTTACTATTTGCCAGTGCCGTCTACTTTCTAACCTCCTCCTTCTACTTGAATTTTTTTTGATGCTCTGATGATTGTGACTCTGTTGGAGGAACTTAGGCCTGTTAGAAGTCAGATAAGCTATTTATCAATCCAGTTAGATCACCTACTTTGCAACTTTTCAACGTGCCTACCGCTTAACCCACTTTCTACTGAACCATTATTTTGGTGTGTCTTGCTTTGAACATTAACTGCCAATAACTGCCTCATTAAAAAAAATTACTGCTAAAGGTCCAAGTACTCTAGGTAGATATCTATTTTTTTCCTTGAAATTGTTTACCAAGAGCCCAGTCAAAAGTAACTAACAACTGGCAATTTTGCCACTTTCAGTGGAATATTTGTTGCCAAGGGTTCTCATTAAGTGCTGGCAACTGGCCAAAAAACAGGCTACTCTGAGGTTTGAGCCCTGTACTTTTTGGGAAAAAGGGGTAAAATAGGGAATGAAAGCCTGAAATTGCCTACAGTACTTGATTGCTAAGCCACCTACTTTTATGTCCTAGCTGTCTACTTTAAAACTTAATGAGAACCCTGAGGCTGCCTACTCAAAATATTAAGGTTTAGCAATATTAGATAAAAACTGCCCAAATTTAGGCCTTTGCCTCCTTCTTCTCTGGTTATCCTACTTACTTTTGTGAATCGTTTTTACTGGGGTGATGGAAGAACCAAAAAGTGGGCAAGTTTTCCAGAGAAGAAGGTGAGCTGACATAAGGTCAAATTGAATTGATTGTTATTGTATTTAATCTTGGTGAAAAAATGAAAGATTGTTAATTTTAAGCTCGGTGAACAAATGTGAAGATGAAATAATCAGCATACCATGAGCGTGGGACAAAGAATAAATCTGAGTCCCCAACAGGATTTGAACCTATGACCTCCCAAACACCGCACGGGCGCTCTATCCCCTGAGCTATGAGAACTCATGGAGAATGAGGTTGAAAGTTGTTTTAAGTACCATGATGTGTTTCACCATTATGATTTATTGCTCTAATGAATGAATGAATGAATGAACTTTATTTAAGTGTCAGGGTATTTAGCTTTGTATTAGCTAATTGTGGACACTAAAAGAACATTCCAAGTACAAATAATAATAATAATAATAATAATAATAATAATAATAATAATAATAATAATAATCGATTAATTGAAACAGGGATCCTACAAGTGATAAAAATATATTTTAAGATTTATAATCATTTTAAAAACAGAGAAGGTTCATAATAAAAATCTATTCAAGAAAAATTCTTATTGTTTGTGATACTGGGAATAGCATATGTTGAACTACAGTGGGATTATGTAAATGTAAGTTGCTAAACAAATTGCTGCTACTCAAAGAATCCCTAATCTAGGAATTGTAATAAACCTTGTTTATTTGTTGTCTCTAGGAAAGTCAAAAGCTGGGGCCTCAGGAAAAGCCAGTGAGACTTCTAAAGCCCAAAAGGCCAAGAAGTCTGTCCTGAAGGGTGTTCAGCGTGCACCAAAGAGGAAGGTGCGCACAAATGTTCATTTTTATCGTCCTAAAACTTTGAGCCTTCGAAGAGCTCCCAAGTATCCTCGGCATTCTGCTCCCAGGACCAACAAACTGGATCACTATGCAATTATTAAGCATCCTTTGACAACAGAGTCAGCCATGAAGAAGATTGAAGACAATAACACACTTGTGTTTATTGTTGATGTGAGAGCTAACAAGCCACAGATCAAGGCCTCTGTGAAGAAGTTGTATGATATTGATGCCTCCAAGGTCAACACCCTTATAAGGTACCTAAAATCATGCAACACGTCTTTCTCTTGATAATTATTATTTCTCTTATGTTATCAGCGTTTATGCTATAAACAAATTGTTTGAAGTTCAGTAGTTCAGTTTTTGTTAAGAGCAAGATTTTCTTTCCTCCTTTNCTTGTGTTTATTGTTGATGTGAGAGCTAACAAGCCACAGATCAAGGCCTCTGTGAAGAAGTTGTATGATATTGATGCCTCCAAGGTCAACACCCTTATAAGGTACCTAAAATCATGCAACACGTCTTTCTCTTGATAATTATTATTTCTCTTATGTTATCAGCGTTTATGCTATAAACAAATTGTTTGAAGTTCAGTAGTTCAGTTTTTGTTAAGAGCAAGATTTTCTTTCCTCCTTTAAAGCAAGGGTAAAGTTGTTGGAGCATCTGCAGCTTAGCTATCATTGCACGGATAATTTTCTCTAAGAAAGATTTTATTGCAAATTTTTCTCTTTCTGATTGCCACCTAGCCTACAACAAAGCACTCTGTCCACCAGTTAACAGAGTCCTTCCATTAATGTCACACAGGCCTAGCAAGACACCAAAACCCTTTCACTACTAACACTACCTTTGTATGATGTGAGTTGACATTACATGCTCAGTGTTAAATCAGTTTTCCTCAAATTTTGCATTGAAAGAATTATTAGTGAATGATCTGCACATCAAAGACAAAGAGTCTTACCCCCCTTCTACACAAGTCTTCAGACTAGTACGACCCTTACAACTCTATGACCTCTTTGATTGAATGATTTTGTAAAACAAGCAATACATTAAGCCAAGGGGTATACTGAAAAAAAATATACAAGGCCTCATATATGAAACCGTTTTTTTGAAAACCAAGTACAGTATCTAACAAAAATTTCAGTTGTTTGAGTGAAAAGGCGTCAAAAGGCATGTCTCTTAAGCCCGAGGAGCTCCAAAACCATAGTAACGATGGGAAAGGAAAGGAGAAAAAGAAAGAGTGAGGAGAAGGAAAGGAGGAGATGAAAAAAAAAAAAGCAATGGTTGCACTCTTAGTTTTTATAATAGCTACTTTAGAGTTTTTGGCTGGAAAAAAACTGTTCAATGCAAAAAGTCCACTTGGCGATAATAATATCATAAATCCGGCTAGATATACATAGTCTTGTTTTGGACATTTCCCACTTTTTTGTGTAAGGCCAGTATTTTGTAGACCTTTGAATCTGATACTAATTGGCATTTTTCTGCGTTAGACCTGATGGACAGAAGAAAGCTTATGTCAGGCTGGCACCCGATTATGATGCGTTGGATGTTGCAAATAAGGTTTGTGATAAACATTTATGTAATTCATTCCACACAGTTTTGCCATGTTAAACTGATTTGTCGGTCTTACTTATCATACTTATAGTTTATCACCATGAGTTTTCTAGTGGCATAGAGGCAAAAGGAACTTCAAACAGTATTTTATCTTTCTTCCATCAAATAGGGAATTTTTTTGGCCAAAATTCCTTTCATTATACGTGTGGCTTTTTAACCAGGGGTCAATCAAATAAAACTTTTACATGTGTAATTTGCAAGGGTAGCCATTGTTTTAGAGTCTAAGAACAATAGCTACACTTGTAAACTACATGTGTAAAAGTTTTATTAAATTGACCCCCGATCACTGAAGTGTAATGCTCTGTCACTTAATTTTGTTAAGTACATTAGTATAGGTAATAGCATGCTTTGTAGTGATATTTGGCGTAAATACCACAAGTGATATTTCAAAATTGTTATATGTAATTTCACAAGCCATTAGGCAAGTGAAATTTGAGACAATTTTGAAATATCACAAGTGGTATTTAAGCCAAGTATCATGTACAAATCATGCTATTATTTGTTTATACTACTAACCACAGAAGGTTTGAAATTTTCACATGTAGGTATTTCAAATTAAGCTGAAATACCACTGCTCTAAACCAATCAAATTGCAGAAATTTCTCATGTAGTAGTATAAACAGTCAAATAATATTATAATGATGTAATAACTGTACTTACTCTGTTTATGTTTTTTAATTCACAGATTGGGATCATCTAAGCTGGCCAAATGAAAATTAAACAATAAAACTTGATTGTTATTTAAGTATTGAAGGTTTTGTGCATTATTAATGATGTTTTAAGCAGACTACCATACAATGATCCACTACAACCACCACCACAACGACAATATATATACAAGCAAAAGGACAATTAACCTGCAATGAAATTAAATAGCCTAAAGGGTATTGGCTTTGGTAATAACTACCGATAGGAAGCCAAATTACATGATATAAATTTCAGTACTAGGGCCAAAAGACATACATGCAAAGTGGATATACATTGAACACAAACACGCACAACAAAGTAGTAGAAACTGCAGAAAATTATTGAAAAAATATCTGCCATTTTTGGGGCTGTTGGAAAGCTTCTGTCAGACACTTGTGGTGGTGTGTGGGGGGGGGGGGG